GACTTATTAATGTAACAGTTACAATCTCTTACAATAAATAAAATAAATATTATATTACTATGATTGCAGTTCTTGACTCTTACTTTCTAAATTAGAATTTTAAGCATGTAATGAAAGTATATTACACAGAAGAATACGTTCTAGGATTAAAAAAAAAAAAAAAAAAAAAAAAAAATCCGAGTTGAATTTTTATATTAAAAAATCTTTAATTTATTTAATGAAGATTGTGCTTTCTTTGGTGATTAAATCCAGAATTTTGGGCCATAGATAATTGTTCTACTTATCCACAAAACCTACTGAGCTATTCATCTGTTAAGTAGCTGCAAATCTTTTCTACATAAGCACTGAACCTGTGTAATTAATTAATTCAATCTCTAGAGGACTGAATATTTCTATTTTAATTTGACTTTAATTCTATAAAAAAAGTGATTATTCATAACCATACGTGTATACAAAAATACACTGCTTTGAAAATATGAGTCTTGGATGATATTAGCCACTCTTCCAAATATACACAACATCTAGTTTAAAAATATATTATACACTTAATGCCACAAAATATCTTTGAATATAAAACAAGTTTAGAATTATTTTTAGTTATTGCATTTGCTACAAGCATAAAAGAAGAAAAATACCTTATATTCTAGTAAATTTTGCAGTTAAACATTCTTCTAATGAAACATGTTTTATTTACAATATTTGACATATTATTCAAAGTATTCAGAAGTATTAAATACATAATGTGATAAATTATTTTCAAATAAATTTCTTTGCATGTATATTGAACATAAAGAATATTATATAAAGAAACACTGTGAATTGAATGGAAATTTTTGCAGAATTATTTTTGGTCCAAAGGTGATAAAAACCTGCAGTTTTAGATCAATGAATAAATCCCACTGACCTACCTTTTGGAACATTATTTTTGATTTCAAAAACTGCAGTTGAGCTTGATCAGTTATATTTGGTGCAAAATCTTCCTTTCAAATACAGACATTAATAAAAGTCTATATAAGCATTAGACTGCAAGTTTAACATTGATTTAGAAAATTCTACATTTCAATATTCAGTTTGACTTATCAAAAATTTCAGATTTCAAAACTCTAATGTATGTTAGTAAATGAAACTACTAATTCAGATGAGATAACAATCATATTTCCTATTTCATTCAACAAAATAATAATAATTATATGAGGTTTTGCTTTTAAATGTAAAAGTTAATTCATTTTATTATTTTAACTTCTCAAATATTCTAATATTACTAAGCTAATATATAAAAGAAAAGTCTGTCTTCTCTTGGAAGAATATTTTTTTCCACCAGTATTTGTAGAATGAATTTTTGTATCAGGTGCATTTCATGCTAATGTATTACTTTAGAAATAGTCATAATATTGTAATGATCTTTCATGACACTTTGAATTCTGATAAGCTGGAATCTTTCTTTAGGATTGGAAAATTTCAGGAAGTTTTACACACATACAAAACAAAATGCAACACATGAGTAATAAATCATGATTTAGTCATTAAATTATTTTTCGTCATCCAAAGCCCTATTTACAGAAAATTAGATTTGTTATTTATATACATTTTGCTATATACAGATGGTTTTTAGATGCAATAAAAACCAGTATGGAAATGAAAAAAATCCATTAAATTTAATTTTCCAAAGGAATATAAGTATATTGCCATTCTTTGTCTGTCTTATGACATCTTCAATGTGATAGGTCATTGACGAAACTAACAACTGAGCTAATCTTGGATTAAACAGCATGCTTGCCAAGGTGGCATTGTGACACCCCACAGTTCTTCTGAATTTCGTATGCCTCTCTCACTGATGGTCATTTTCAGTGAAGACCAAATGTTCTGAATGGGTTTCAGATCTCCTGTTTTGCTTAGCAATGGCATGTGGCAGAAAGCTTGCTGATCCAACCATTCTTTGATGAGGCTTGCACAATGAATTGAAGATTTACGCTAAAAATAAAATAGCTGATCAAAGAAATGGTTGTCCAACACTTCTGGCATCATGATATGCTCAAGAATGTGACGATGGGAAGTTGCATCCAGATTGCCTTGAAATCTATATAGAGTTCATAATCTGTTTGGAGATATGCAACTGCACAGAAATAAGAAATTGGCTACTTTTCTTGACATTCTAAAAATATAAGGGATTGGAATATTGACCTAGAGATCTCCAATTTCAAATATGTCCAGAATAATTAGACTGGATGCAGCTTTCGTCATTGAACAAAACATTACCCAATTCAGAAATTGCCCAACTAGAAAACTGATTGCAAAAGTTCAGTCTTTCTTGAATATGAAGATCTGTCAATGCAGGCTTACAAACTGCAATCTTTCTGTGGAAATTTTTCTCATGCAATCTATTTCTTCCATTTCTTACTGTTTGAACACAAGCCTGCAGAGGAACAAATATATTTGTTAAATTCTTAAATTATGTAAAAATACAATAATAATCTAACTTCCTTTTTTAATAAAGCAATTTTAATGTAATACAATGAGATTACTACTATTTTATGTAATAACAAATATTTTTCAAAGACTGACTGCTAAGAAAAAGAAATCAGTAATGTATCAACAAAAATAAGCATTATGTGAAGCAGAAATGTGTGTCAGGTTTAAATTCATTTTAAACTTTTTTTTTCTGAAATTTTTATTCAGAAGTATTCTGGTTTTTTGTTCTTACAGAGTGGGATAATTTTTAGACTTTGTAATTCAGAAAATTTAGAAGGAATTGAAAGCAAGATTTAAAGCAAAATATGATAAAATGAAAAATGTTTCCATAGCATTAACACGTACTGAATGGGTTTTATAGGAAATTTGTAAAGATTTTTTTTTTTTTTTTTTTTTTTTTTTTTAGAATTCAACTTAAAAACATTGAAAAAAGTTATTTGAATTTTCTCCTTTTAATCCTAAAAAGTCTTACTCTTAACATGCATATATTAACCTTATTATCTCATCTTTTCATTTGAATTCTTTTCTCATCATTTCATTTTCACAAGGTCAAAAATTAAAAAAGTTGTTCTAATCTTGTCACATGGACCAGCATCTGTAGAAAGGAATTTTTCTATTAATAAAGCAATTGAAAACTGGCAATTTAAAAGATCCATCTTATATGTTTTATACACAGGGGTAGGCATATTGCCACCTGGTGTAATTTCTATGAGTCCTTCCCAGTGTCTATTATAAATTGTAAATTTTTACTAATCCCAAATTTAAAAATTTTTTTTACTCAGTGCTTTGCTAACTTCTAAAATTTTGCCACAATGGCTCTGGTGCCATCCCTGATCTTATATCATTTTACATTTATTCTCAGTATTCATATTATTAAAGAAATAAAATTAGCATTTTCTTCTATATATTGTAAATGCATGTAGTTCTTTAAAATAATAGAAATCTTCAGTTAAATCTGAAATTCTAAAAGGAAGAGGAAACTTATTGAGAAAGAATTTGATTACATAAAGAATATTATTCTTCAACATTAAAGCATTAACAAATTAGGGGATGAAGCAGAAACTAGTTGGAGCACTGATTTGTGTTTTGATACAAATAAACTCAGAAAAGATGCTAAAGAAAAGCATGATGTAAATTAACTAAAATTCTGAACCATTTTCAAATTAAAAAGATGCATAAATATTTTGGAGTGAGTTATTGATACAAAATATATGTGTTTTGTAGTATTTTATGTGTAATTATCCTAATATCATTTTAGAATCAATATAATAAATTACATGCATAATTCTGTTAAATATTAGATTCTGTTTAATAATAATGTATCCTACTTACAGATTTATTTTTTCTTAGAAGGATATTACAAAACTGAAGTTTGGGCATCGATAATTGCTTTCATTTATTCAACTCCCTCTGCTGACAGATCCTTAATTTTTTTTTTTTTTTTTTTTTTTTTTTTTTTGTTAATGGTCTTTAAAAGTTGATACATTCCATGTGCAAAATTGTGTATGTACCCTGATGTTTCTTTGGAGTGGATGTTGCTAAAGCTGGTTTTCCTTTGTTGGTATAACATCAATAAGCAAGAAAGAATTGGACTCAAAAAATACAGTCCACAACAAATTATGCTTAATTAATTTGATCCTGCATTTATTTTTTGCAGGCTGTTATTTGTTCTAGCTATCGTATCAAAATTAAAGTTGGAATTTTTTATCACGTTGAAATAATTTACCAATTCTGGAACTGTTAGCAGGATCTGCAAAATTAAAACATGTTTGGGATTTGCCTTCTATAGTGGTCTTGGTGCAAGAAAATGGCACTGATGCAGTCTGGACAAAGAAAGGGAAATTTAAAATTAGTTAAAACAGCAAACATATTTTGCCACAGATTTTTGACACTGTAGAAGGTGAAATTTTCCAGTTAATGGAATTTGTGAACGTATGTTGAAGAAGTGATAATAAATGAAGATGTTATAACAGAATTTTTCCATTGCAATGGCCATGTCCCAATCAACAGTCAGGTTTTCAACCCAGAAATTTTTCCTACTAATAGTTATGAAAGCTCAAAGAGATTTTGAGCATAGAAAACCTTTCGATTGAAAGATTGGTGGTGAGTTTTCAATATGGCAATCACAGGACTTAAACGATGGAACTCTCTAACTGAACAAGAAATTATGGCTATGAAATTAAAGAGAAATTAGGACAAAAAACACAATAACTTACATTAAAACATATGTTAAATAAAACAAACAAATAAATATTGAACTTTTTTCCCCAAATCTTCCTTAAAGTCATAAATGCTTCACGTTTTCGTAAACAACTGTTTCATGTGTTTAATTTCTTAATTTCTACCTGTCATCGTACTAGATTTAAATTATCTAAAATCCGGAAATTTTTAAAATTCAAATTTACCAAAGTTTCAATGTTTGCAGATCTTGGGTTTTGTAGTGTTTAACATCTATTATACCATATACTAATAATAGTTAATATTTGATTTGATTTCTGCCTTATTTGATGACTTTTTATGAATACTTTTAGTATTGGGGATGTGTATAATTCTTCAGTGGAGAAAAATGATGGAGAAATTGATTTAGCCTCTCTTCCAAATCCACCTCAAGCTCATTCTGTGCCACTAACAGTTATTGATCATCAGTTTGATAAAACTGTTAGAAATGTCCAAAGGTGAGTTTTTTTAAACTTGTATGTCCAAACATAAAGGCTTTTTTTTATATGGTATTATATAGATTTTTAGTGTGATTTTGTTTTACCGAATTTGTATTAATTATTTCCCCATACTTTTAGTAAGAAGTCATCAAAAAAGAAATCAGCTGTTGAATCACCAACAGTAAACATGGTAAGTATTTATATTTTTATGTAATTTAAGGGCTGCTTTTTTTCTCTGCCATTGTTTTTACTATGACAAGCATCTCTGAATATTACTGTAAATTAACATTATTATCTGTATAAGTTATGATATGTTATTTCAATGAAATTATGCATTAGATTTTCATAAAATGTTTTTGTTTTTAGATTCATCAGATTGTTACTAAATTGTGTATATATTACTGAATTGCATGTATTGTGCTGCATTTAGGTTGTCATTAACACGGATTTTCAACGAATTGGAGGTTTGCGGATGTCATAATCTCAAAGGAAATTTTTTTACCCCAGATTAGCAAATCAACATGTAATTTGTTTTGCAAAAGTTTGAGCAGGTGGTAGTTGAAGCCATGGACTGAAAAATTTTAAATAGGGATCATGCAAATGAAGATATTATTATGGCACATAGTAATTATAGTAAACTTAAGTTTATATGTGTCTGTATAGCATTTAAGTAATTTGAATAAAATAATATCAAATATAATAATATTTTAATTTAAAAGAGGCCAGTTTTCAATTTTATTGATTTAGAATGCATTTAAACAAAATAGTAATTTTAAAAACTTAGAATAATATTCTAACATGTAATAAGGTTGATGGATATGGAGTAAAAAATATTAAAAACCACCTCCAGAGTAAGGTATTCCCGTAATTACTTAATTGATTTTAGTGTTGTAAAAATAACAAATCCAAATTAAAAACATCATTTCTGTTTCTTTACTGTTTCTGTGCATTATTGTGGCTATGATTAGAGGTAGTTTCTACTCGTTTTAGGTTTTTATCTAGAATCAACATTTTTTTAAGATTGAAATTATGCCACATCTAATAAAACTGTGGAAATTTATATGTTATTGCTGTGACCTTTAAAGTAATTTTTTACACTTATGGCAATTTTTATTTCACCTTAAGTTTTCACTGCATTTTAAAATTTCAGTTGTTTTGGAGTAAATATACAGCTGAACTTTGATAAGTCAAAACTGAAGGGAATACTCCCCCCCCCCACAAAAGAAATCAAGTGATTTAAAATTTTATATGAATTCTTCTACATTTCAACATTCAGCAGTATGGCGTATCAAAATTCCTAATTTGTCAAAGTTCTACTATAAGTACAAGAAGAAGAAGAAGATTAGGGCATTCCCCGTATCGAGAACTCAATCTCATTCCGGGTCCACTCCCCCTTTGGGCACATCATGGTGGTTCAACCTCCACTATTACCCTCCAGGAGAGCAGCGCACCACCTGGGGACGAACCCCAGGCAGCACCGGTCGTCTAATGCTCCTACCAGTCGCTTGGGCGAGCCCGTCGCAGTGGGACATTACCCAGCGACCCCGGGGGAGACCCCCCGGGTTACTAGAACCACGCCGCGCTAGGACGTGCCAGACTCCAGGGCCGGCCAATAAGTGACCTTTCCCAGAGCCTTCAGAACCACCAAGTTCATAAATTTTATACCCCCATGGCCGAGACTGCCTAGGTACAGATCCTAACCAGTAGCTTCGCAGAGTTCTCTACGTCGACCCCCGGGGGGGACTATAAGTACAAATTGATTTCTTCGATTCTAGAGCATATATGATGTATTCTGTTTGTAGAGGCATTGTTATTGTGAAAATTTATATTTTAGCATATGGCAATCCCAATATATATCTTTGAAATTTATACATTACCTAGAAGCAACTAGCAAATGATAATTTTATATCTTATTGAAGTCATTTGTTCATTTTTCATGAATATTTTTTTCATAGACAATCTTTTACTTAAAACAGTAACATGTAAGTTGCTACTTTGAAAATATTTTTTTTTCTGGTTAGATTGATTAAACATCCATATTTTTATTATTATTATTATTATTATTTTAGGTTGTGTTGTAATTTTATTTCTATTACTAAATTTGTTTTTCAGAATGAGGAATGGCAGCATATGTTTGGCTCAAGTGATCTTAAAAGTCCTCCATCTCCAAGACTTCAACATCAGAACTCTGACCCATCTTTGTCATCATATTCTAAGATATCTGCCAGTGGAAAAGTCTTAGATGATAATTTAGAATTCAAAACAACTGTTGATGGTAAAAATAGTGTGCCCATTGCAATTTTAGAGGACCGTCATAAACCTAGTATAGTATCTAAACTTCTTATTCTGCTTTAACCCACATGCTGTTTCTATCTTCTTTCTCTTGATATCTTTCTATCCTCTTTCTATCTGTTCTTTTCACACTAAAGAAAACTTATTCATTCTAAAGAGGAACTGCATGCAGGATGCAATATGTCTAGGTCGCTATAATAGTTTCTATTTGTTTTAAGAATGTTTCTGCACCTATTTTTAAATGTTGATGCAACTAAAAGCTTGAATAAATGTTTAACTCCTCTGATGCACAGCAAATACAAATTATCGCAAGAGTTCTGATAAAAAGAAAGTGCTTGTAATGTGGTAATATGTGATACTATAGCTAATGAATTTTATTATTAATTTTATTATTATTTTATCGTATTAAATTTTAATATTTTCTTATTTAGTTTTATTATTATTTTAACTTATTTAATTTTATTATTATTGTATTTTTTTATCTTATTTAATTTTATTATTATTTTATTATTGAGTTTTAATAAGATAAGTAAAAATTACTCAGTTTAATTTTCTAATTTTTTTAAATCATCATTTTTAATAACAAGTAGTACACATTATTCTTGGACATGATTTTTGGTAGTAGAAGATAATCTGTATATTCATTGAGATACTATTATATAACGTTGTTATTTTATAATTATTATAAAAGAAACAAAATTTTAAAAATTGTCATTCATGTATAAGTATAATATTTGCCAGAATTAGATGTTTAAACCTTTTGTTTAATTTCTGCTAATATCTTACTACCTACATAAAAAAATCATCTGATGTGCCTAGCACATGACCTCCTACCAATTTCATGTTAAGACATGGAACTGATGGAATAGCAATGAGCTTTAAGTAAACTATCAACTTCTGGTTGATTATTTATACATATAATCTAGTTTGTTTATAAAGTTAATGGCTTAGTGTTAATCATAATACACTAATCATTTTTATAACTTTATATTCCTATGGAATGGACAATGTTAACTATAAGTGCTGATGTACACATTCATTCTCATTGAACTGAAAATATTGCATAGATCATAGTATATTCTCTGGTAATATAGCATTTCAGATTTGCAAATCAATGAAAATTTCTAAAAGTAACATATCTTTAAAATTCCTGTTAGAATGTTTAGTGTTGACATACATTTCTTTTCATATTCACTGCATTATTTTTATTTACTATATTATCTTTTTTAAAAAAATACATAATGATAACATTTGACGGAGGTTTCTTTTATTTGAAAAGTAATTCGATACGAAAGTGAAACAAAGTTAGGATTGAGGCTAATACATTTAGTTACTTCATAACGAGAGCTTGCTTTCATAATGAGTTTATTCTCATTATATTTAGCATAATTCCAAGAATATATTTAATGCTCATAAACGTATTATGTTGTTCTCAATCACAAGCTTATTTTAAATACCAGATTTGAGAAGTTTTGCATTATCTCATAATATATTTTTTTACAAAAGTCTCTTCAGAGCTTCAAGTAAAGTATCACTTCTGGTTTATTGATTTCAACTAAAATGTAATATGTGACTGCCATTCATATAAAATCTTAAATACTAAAATTGGAAAGTTTTAAATTGTATTTTAATATAGTTTTCTATTTAAAACTGTCATGGGTCTCAAACAAAGTACCACTTCCAGTTGTCCAGTTTTACTCAAAATCTAATCAATCTAATCAAAATCTTTATATGAATGTATATGGAAACTGAAAGTTTCACATAAGGGTTATCACAGACAACAAAATTGTCACACACAAACAGACAGACATCATTCTAAAAATAATAAAACCGAGCTGTATGGAACTTAATTCATGCTTCGAAAACATTACCTCCCTTACCTAATGTAGGTAGGCAGGAGATAAAAATGTCTAGTTCAAATGTACAATGTATACTATATAGTCTGTATCAATTAGTTGCTTAATAAGGTAATTTGCTGGCTCTAATTTTATCATGCTGTGTATCTCTGACTTCATTTTTTGTATTTAAAACTTCAGATTTTTAATTTTTATCTTCATTTAATAATGCTTGAGGTTTTCATGAAGGGCTTTTGCTTCATTTGTAAACTTGCATGATATAATTAATTGCTAATTAGAATATAACTTTCTAATGATGTCTTGCTGTAATATTGTTGGTGGTTGCTAATCAGTAATCATTTTAAATATATTTCCAGGAAAGTTTTCATAACATTTTATCACATTGTGTTTAGTAAAAAGAATTTCTTCACATTGTGCTTGTTTGTTGAAATATTTCCTACTGCTGCAAATACCTTTTCTGTTTTAATTACATATCTAGATGAAAATACAATAGATAATTTTTATGTGCCATCATTTTATTGATTTGAAATAGGTATTTAAAGTATATATTAGATATATTTATTTCTAAAGTTTGCTATTTGTTGTAAAATTATTTTCAATTATTATTTAAAAACTGCAGATCATTGTGCACCTTGTCATGAAGAGCTTCAGGCATTAATTTTAAAGAAACAGGAAGAGTGGATTAACGATGAAATTGTCAGAGAGGCCAGTGATTTAGGTTGTAAGGAAGAAAAGCCACAGTCTGGTAAAAAGGGTTCCAAAATGCCATCAGGATATTTGGTCGCCCATTTGCATGAGCACAAGAAAGCTGTGGTCAAGTAAGTATATGGTGTTGAAATTTGTTATTAAGTTGTATTGTGCACTTTTTATCTTTTTTTAAATACACACAGGCATACACCATAAATCAGACTGTACTTAGGAAGGTGGCATATTTCTTTTATAAGAGTAAAATTAATTTGGTGAATTTGCTGAAGTAGATGTAAATTACGACAATATGAAGTATTTGTATATGAAGTGTAGTATATTCTAGGGTCTGTCATGGTGTGTGATCCTGAGCTTTCCATTTGCCATAAAAAAGTTCTAAAAAATTATACTTAGTGCAAAATATTTGCTGGGCTTTACTGTATCATGTCTCTTCAGCCCCCCCCCCATTTCAAGAACAGACTATTCAAATGGAATACTTTTGTTCTTTGCATGAAAAAATATTTCAGATTAATTGGTTTCTGTATGAAATATTATTTTTATTATAATTTTGGACACAGAATATATTTTGATATATAATATGTAACATATTAACTTTATACATATTTAACATTATATTATTAAATAGCACTAGGAAATAAGCATATAAGGTATAGCAAATATCAATAATAGTACAATACACATCATATATAGAAAAATATACAAAATACTGAGCACATTAGTAGAAAAAGTATCACATCATCTCTGTACCTCCGCTATAAAGCAAAAGTGACACATGGTTTGAGAATATGCGGCATGTGTAGTACATTATGGCAATGGTTATGTAATCCCCAAAGCAATTTATACAGTCCAGAATATATATCAATTGTTATCAATATTTGTTACAAATATGGTATTACAAAGATTTAAAAATTCTAGTTTTTTTAAGTCAAAGTTTGCATCATTAAAAACAAACACAAATAACACACCAGAAAATATTCAAATGAAGCTAATTGATTTATGGGGCAATATAAATCCATATTTATATCACCCCATAAATTGTTTGTTTACAAATACATTTATACATGAACCTTTCCCCCCCACGGTTGACAATTAATAAGAAAAGAACCTGATTGATTCATGAATATCTACAATTTGCGAATGAAGATAATTTCTAGTACTTTTTCTCCAATACTACAAACTTTGTCAGAATCGAAATGCTATCACGCATCGACATGTAGTAAAATATAGTATTTGCTATAATATATGTACATATGCATGTGTATGGTTAGTTTCTGGTTCTCAACTTTTTCTTTTGTGTTTTGGTAATACTTTGAAAGGTTGTAAATGTAGTATTTAATAATGATTATATATAGTGTGTGTACACACACACATTTGTTATCCTCTTTAATGACAGCAAAAATATAAATGGTATAAAATATTAACTTAAAATTAGGTTAAGCAATATAATGTCTTGTTAAGTCATTGTATGTTTTTTATATGTATTATTAAGTTATATATATGTATATATATGTATATATATTTTTGTGTGTGTATGCAAGATAAAAAAATAGGTGAATTTGCAACAGCCCTTTTCTTTTTAATTTGTTATTTCCGCTTTTTATCCTAAAAATAGTAACTGCTAATAATAAATCTCTGTGAATGGCATTATTTCAAAATTTGTCCTTTTCACATGATTTTTACATAAAGCTGATGACACAGATATTTACATAACACTTCAATGAATAGTAATTTAAAATTTTGCAAACCAAAATTCTTCTAGTAACTCCTTCACATCTTCATTTTTAACTTTCAAGTTAATGGTTTTGTCAATAGATACAATATCATAGAAAGAAAGAAAAAAAAAAAAAGTCCTGCATTGAAGCCCTTAAAATCCATATCTGCAACACAAGAAAGCCATACTTTCTTCAGGTTGACTTCATGACCCTGTAAGTCATATGCTGACAGGCTTTGTTAATGAGAGAATTAAGGAATGTAAAATATTAAAATGTTTCTTCTAGAATTCCCTAAGTGTTAATTTTATATCTCAAAATAACTTTGAAAATCTTATTTATATATTTATTTATTGCCAACTTGAGTGTTCATAACTCAAAACACCATTTGTCATCTGAATTGTTTTTTGTTCAGATAACTTGTTTGTGATGAAAGGCATTTTTGATGTAAAAATCCATCCACCATTTTGAGGTGTTGCTCAATTTGTGTAATTACCTTAATTTTTTTACCAGTTTATTTAATATAATACTAAGCAAAATAATATGAAATGTGAGTGTAATTTAGCTCATCTGGTATATGTTTCTTCATTTTTTTAATTGTATCTTTGCATAAAATATTTGCAGGGTATATGTAATATGATTTATTTTCTATCAGGATCCAAGTAATGCCAAATACCCCTTTATTTGCTACATGTTCCATTGATGGTACTGTTAAAATATGGGACTGTGAAAAATTAGAAGGAAAGAGTTTTGCCATTCGTTCAAGAGTTACGTATGGAAGATTAGGTATGCACAGTGTTTATGTATATTTTAAAACCAGGGAGTTGGTTTGTGTAAAAAAATATTTCCCAGGCAGCATGCATTCATAAATTACATGTGAAAAATACATGCAATTTTATGAGTGGCACATAATATTAAAAATGTATGACTTGAATGTAAAAAAAAAATTGGTAGATATTTCCAGGAAAAAAATTGTAGATATTTACTTATATTTTTACATTATAATATATGTAAGATTTAGGTATATTCATGTAAATAATTGCACTTTATTTGTAGCATTTAGTTATAATATGCATAAATTTAAAGGATTTACATATGTTTTTGGTGAAAATTTATGTATATTTATTGCATGTATTAAATATTCCCAATTTTTTACTTCCTATATTTTTAGCGAAAATTTACATTAATCTGCACAATTTTTACTTCTTTTTATGAAGTAAAGAAAGTATTGTAATGATGAAAAATTCCAGGTATCATATTTCAATGGAAGTAACCATTCTCAAATCCATATGGACAATTTTTTGATATGAAATATATATGTATAGACAGAATAAAGAATTTTTTTTTTCAAAAATGTATTATAAAATGGGTTCAAAAGGGAATTTTTCAATATCTCTGTATATATGTATGTATCTAGCATGACTTCAATGATTAGCCATTGAACGTTGAAATTTTGTATATGGGACTGTTATAACATCTAGTTATGTACCTCCCTTTTTAATTGCAATCGCCAATACCAGACATCTCTCTCTTACTCTCCCTCTCTCTCTTTCTCTCTCTCTATATATATACAATTAGTATAAAAGAAAAATTTTCTTTTTAAGTTGTTTTTTTTTTTTTTTTTTTTTTTTTTAAGATTATCCTGAAGGTTGTGTAGGGCAGTAAAATGGTAGTATGTCAATTGAAAGTAAAAATAAAAGCCAGATGAGGAAATTTAATTTAAAGGGCATTTAGAGTTATAAAAATTTAAGACCTCAAGTAACTAATGAAAATACAAATTGAAACTATTTGTATTTAATGTTTTAGCATCACCCCCTTATCCAGCCTGTATTTTCACAATTGTTAATCGTAATCATATACTTCCAGTTACAGAAGTGTTTTAAGTGACAAAAATATTCACGTTTCAGCAATATCAAAATTTTTTTCAAAAATTAATTTTCAACAAATAATGAAATCTAACTTTTAATGTTATCTCTTAGTTACTATACTTATTTTCGGGAAAGTTTTTGTACTCATTTGAAGAAATAAAATTATAAAAAGTTTCACTTCCATATGACAAAAATTAGCTGGGATATTTAATTTTAAATTTTGCAAATTTTCATGTCATTTTCATTTTGTCTTGAGAGATTGTTTAATTTAGAATAATTTGAGGAAATTAGTTTAAATGAAGTATACCAAAAAATGCATATAATTTAATAGGCCATACAAGGAAGTCATGTGGTGTCCACAACAGATTCTTTTTACTTAGCATACATATGTACTTTTCATAGGAATTTTCATTAATTTATCCTATTTTTTACTTTGCATATAGGTCTAAGTTTGGTAAAAATCCAGGTACCTCTCCTGTACCTTTTTACTTTGTATTAATATGCATTTTTGGCAAAATAATTGTGTGAAACAACTATTTTCTTATTCTACTATTGTGTTTATATGCACAATTTTTGTGAACTCTACGTATATTGTCATAGGTATATGTATGTTTATTTAATACCATATTTCTTTAATTATATGCAGATAATATAAACACATTATAAATGTTTTAAATGCATATGATTTTTGTATACAGTCACATTTAGTTACATTGGGTTAAAACAGCATATGTATATATCACACATGGATAAAAAAAAAAATTCCATTCATGTGTAGAAATTTTTCACGTTTTTTTAAATGTGATGAGCTAAAATAAGAAAGCAAAATGTTGTTTATTTAGTAAATCAGTTTTCTAAAAATGTACAAATTTAATAGTGTAGAATTTTACATTAATCCAATTATTGCAATGGAAACTAGAAATACTTTTAAACTCATCAAAGGATATAAATTTTTATTTAAATAACTCATAATATTTAGTATTATGTATTGAACGATCGAATAATTAAGCAGAATTCAAAAATAAATTGCTGTTATATATTTTAAGAAAAAACAAAAGCAATAAGAGACACCTACCTTTTCGTTTCAGATTATGACTTCTAGGTAATTTATACTCATAAAAATATAAATGCAGTTTTCTTCATAGATACTCTTCATATGTGTTAATCTGTATGAAAATTCCATTTCATTAATGGTGATTTTATTTCAATTTTTTTTTTTTTTTGTTTAATTTATTTTTTCACAGCTAATGGCGTTTTTAAAATATAGTGAAACTTACCAGCAAAAATTTTATTTTTTGTAATCATTTTAAAAGTACATTTGTTAAGCTAATGCTTTAATACTATAAATATTTTTTTGCCCATTGGAAAAATAATTTACACTAATTGATATATTATATCCGGCAATATCCAATGTTTTTTTTTTATGTGTCTGATGTAAATTGAACAGCAAACTTAAATCAATAATAACTAGAACTAGTTTCTTAATTTTATTATTCAGATAAAAGTCAGTAGAATTTAAATACCATTCAACAGAAACTAAAATGCTTGCTGGACATATGATCATTCTCAACTTACAAGGGAGGAGGAATTCTTTTTTCATTTCATTATCAATAGTTAAAAACAAATCCTAAACTTCACTTGATTTATTATGCCATTTATGTTTCGGTTCAATTAAATTTTGTTTGTTGTAGGTAACTTAATGTAAAACATTTTTATAAACAGATATTCTGACATCTAATGCATTCATAGGTTAGGCTTTGAAAGCTTAAATAAATACAAAAAGAAAAACTTGAAATAAACATCAAATAGCAGTGATTTTTATGTTCTTAATTCTTTATAAATCAGGATTTTATTTATGAAGTACATCTGTAATTGCATAAAAATTAATTTTAATGATACTAAAAGTGCCATTTAGTAAAAATGATCTGTGTTATGATTTCAGTGCTATTCTTATGACTTTCAGAAAGCATGAATTATAATTAATGATCATTTGTTCATTATTATTGTATTTGAAGATTTGGTGTTCTTTGAAGAATCTTGAGAGTTACGCCTAGTGGTGGGTGTAGAACCAAGGTTCTGTGCTACAGAAGTATAAACTGCACAAACCAAGTTGAAATATTAAATGTAAAATTTAATCAGTGTCTTCTGTCTTTAAGATTTGACAACATAGATGAACATACGTGTCAGACGTTGACATATTAATGAACTTATGCGATGGATAACGTACGAATGTACTATATTGGTACACTATGAATTGATCTTGCTTAACAGTCCTTTTCATATAGGCAGGTATATGGCGATGTAGATAGATAATCCAGAAGCTTGAGTAGATTCTTATTTCCACTGAACTGTTCCTTGGTAGTGGAAGTTTGCATCCACTACTAAGGAACACGTATCACGTGCACTCCTTGCATCACGTGTCTGCACCACGTTAGAGAGGATCACAGCAGCTGGCCATGTTGGCAAACATCATCAGATAGGCGTAGCAGAGAGGTTAGACATCAGCACCATCAGAATCGGGAAGACAGACTACCCTTTCTCTTTTTGTCTGTTCGTCTCTCCTCATTGGCAGGAACCTTCCGCATAGCTATATAATTCATCTTTTCTGCTTAGCGCAATCACGAATGGGAGAAATGCAAATTCCTATCTCTAACAATTATATTAAATATGTTCATTTCATTAATAGCTTTTTTAATTTTTTTAAAGAAAATGTTTTTACATGATATTTTTCTTATTGATTTCAAAAAATGCCATGATATTCAAAGCCATGATAATAACATACATCGTTTTAATTATCTACCTTTGCATTAAATTTTGAAGTTTTGCAGGGCTTTCCAAACATACATGTAAACAATAGAAAGTTGAATACTGCTATTAATTTTCCTAAAACAAGCATCTGCAAAAAAGTGAACGCATTTAGTAAAATAAGCATTTACAAAATTCTAACAATTTGAAAATAATATAAAAAATTTTCAAATTTAAATAATCTAGAATTAAGTGTTAAAGATTATATTTGAATACTGAAAGCAAAATTTGGCATAATCAAGTTTTATAGGAGCAGTATTTTCTAATGTAGCAATTGAATTTATTCTTTATGCTACATGTCCAATAAGTAATACTCTGGTATAATATTTTTCCTCTTATAAAAGCATAAACAATTATTTAAGAACAAAAGGTTTCTCACTATCAGACCGAGTATGAGATGAAAAATGCTGCCTTATTTCATTTTAGAAAAATTCTTCTCTATTTAATATTACTATTTATATATATTGTAAATGAAAATAATTGTATTCTCCAGAATATCTTCCATATAATTCCTATTTATTATTAATTCCTCTATTCTCTAACTCTGGGAATATATAATCTGAGAATCGAATTTTTGTATGTATATAAATACTTCAGGGAAATTGCAGTTTTTTATTTTTTATTTATTTATTTATTTATTTTATTTTTTATAATGTAATGTTAAAATCTAAAGAAAAAAAGCTTCGCGAGAAAAGTAAGAATACAGGGGCAAGTCTGTTTAACATTGAGTAAATGGTTATCTTCCTAAATTGATGAGATATTGTCAAGTTGGTGATTTTTTTGTCGATTTTGTCCAAGCGACCAATTTTTTTCACCAAAAGTCGCCAAACTTGGTGACATTTTGTTCCGGTTCTTGTATAATTATAATATAATTGAATAACTGTAATTGATGCTATATGTATGTGTAACTATATCGTTTCTTGTTTTAATATATGTTGCTGAAAATGTAATTTATTGTGAATGTTTATTTAGAGGGCCCTCTATCATGCATGACATTTTGCGAGAATATGCAGTCCATTGCTGCAGCTTCTGACAGTGGATGGATTCATGTATTTAGGTATATAAATTCATAATTTTATTTAAAAAAACTAGCAGCAAAATACTTATAACAGTGAATTAAATGTTATAAGTATTTTGCTGCTGAAGCAAAGTGTAAAATTTTTTGTAAATTACATAAGCAGTTGTTTTGCAGACTATTTATGTAATTTACAGTAAAGTAGCTTTTAAATGAACTGAAAATTTGAATGTTTTGTTTAAATTACTGTAAAATAAGTTAAAGAAAAAATCAGTAAGTTTTATTAACTTTTAAATCATTTGAATGAATTACATTTTTATTTTAAAGCTAAGCATTTTGCTTTTGAACTTATAATATTGTCAATAAAAATGCATAAATTTTGTTTATAATAAAATTTATTAATAAATTAATAAAATTAAAAATGTTAATAATAAACAAGTTGTTGTATTAATTTTTTTTAGCATGGAATATTTAAGAAGGAGTTGGAAATATTTCACATTTGTATTTCCATGTAGGTTATCATTCATATCTTCATGAAATTTTCAATATTTTATGGTGATGTCATGATCTTGCATACATTTTGAATTAAATTACTCCACTTTATAAAAATTGCATATAGTATGGCACAAAATACTTTTTTTATGATTTATAAATGATTATGTTTGTGGGGGGTTTCCTTCTCCCTTCACATTTCTTCAATGCTGACATCATGCACAGATTTCTCCTTCTAGCGCATGTGCGATAAGAATCTCCTTTCTGCGGTACAGCAAAAAAAGAACTCTTCTGTTTTGAAAATTCACTCTGTTCATCACTCAGATTAATGTAATTCTAATGCAGTATATATAGCTTGATTTATTAAAAGAATTTATTCTTTATAAATGGGTGTTTAATAATTGTCTAAAAACCCGAACTGGTGATCCGGATGTGATTTGAACATGCAACTTGATACTTATGTAGTATATCATCAACCGGCAATATAATGCTATTTAGCACCATTTATGGATGACCGTGTCCAAGAATTCCATAGTAACAATTGCCAACCATTGCCAAAATTTCTGCCAGTGGTCGACAAGATAATACGTAAGTACTTTTTAATTTAGATATGCCTTATAAGTCCAAAAATGAGTATAAAAGAGTTTGTCACATTTGAAAAAATATCTTGAAGAATTTCATAGAGATAAAACTTTTCTATAGCTAACTGAAATAATTTTTATAAATCATTTTAAATTATTATATATATTTGTTTTCTCAGTGTGTCCTAAATATGCAATTCTGTAGGTTATCAGGCAAAAATAATCAGATTGTATAAAAATAACATAAAAAAAAAAAAAAATAGATAAGTAAATAAAAAACTTGCAATCTGGAAACTTTAGATTGCAAATAATTGACTATTTAACAGTCAAAGATGAAACTTGCTCTTAAAATTAAAAAATATATATAATAATTTATGAAGTTGATGGTTTCTTCTTTTTTAAAAAATTAAAAAAAGAAAAAGCATAATATTTACTGTTTTCAGCTTAGAAAACTTAAATCTTACTGCTGAGAAAAAGTAACACTTAACTTATTTCAATTTTAAAAACCTCTAGCATTTCTATGTACTTTTTTTCTCCTAATAGACATTTTATTTGATTAAAATCATGAACAGAAATATATCCATGTATTACTACAAAATTTCATCACAGCTATTATACTTTAGTTTAGATGCTGACAATATTGGGCTGAAAGGTTGTTAAAAATTTATTTTTGCTGTCTGTCAGATGAGGTTGTGCTGATAGTTATTGCCATGACATATCTGCAGATTATGCCCCTATACTGATTTATTATAATAAATGGGATTTAAAAGAGGTAATAAAAGATGATTTTGTATATGACACTGATTGCTATACCTTTAATTACAGAATTTTATTACTAAGCACTAGCACATGATTGGCACTAGAGGTAAAATTATTTCAACAGTGCCGCATTACGTGCTGGTACAAGGCATTTAAAAGTTTAAAAATGAATCAAAATAAGTAATAATATGCATTATTTTTGTATGACAAACAAGTTGTATGTATTTTTATTGCAAGTTAGTTACAATGATATTAATACAAACTGTATATTTCAGAATGTTATTCATGTATTATCTTTGCACTCTCTAAACAGTAGGAAAGAGATTCTTCAGAGTCTATGCAGATATAGTTGTTAACCATGTTTTTCTTGTGAACAGCAAATTTTGCACTGTTTTCATAGTACCTTCCCACCTTTCTTTTCTTCATGCAGTTTGAGCACATATTCTGATTCAGATAGATCGAACACAGGAGCACAAAGATCAGATGACTGTTTTCATAAACATCTTATCACCAATAAATGAAAGCCATAAAGTGGCATATTTCCAATGTAATATTTGTTATTGCCAAAGTGGGAATTGGTCATAATTATTTGCAAAAAGTGCAAAAATGTTTTAGTAAACCACCTAATAGATTTCCTTTCATGTGGATAATAGGGATTCATGTGAGATTTGATCTTGCTTATAAAGTATATTATATATCTTTGTCTGCCATAAATTCATCATATTGAATTGCAGGAAGTGGTTTTGATTTCATTTTGCATTCTTTGTTTGCTTTTTCTACAGCATGATTTTTCATATTCATTAGACATGTAAGTGGCATATCTTTTATCCTTCCATTTAGTAATCATTACACCATGAGCGTATTTTGCTACAGTTTGTCCTTTGTTTAACTTTTTTTTCGCTAACCTCTTTTAGAAATGTCTTCCTATTCTTTCCAGTTGTCCCAGTAGAAGTGTTTTCCTATCAACAAGACATTTCAACAGGTTATAGCTATTATAATAACTTTTCTTTTTACATGAAGGCCTTGCAAAACTATCATCAACAACTCATGTTGCAAGAAAATTTTTTCAGTAAGCAATTAATTTAAAGCCACACTTATTTACAGAAAATTTTTGGAATGGATTAGTTGTAATGAGAAACAGCATACATTTATTTGCCTTAATATGGAAGGGGGGGATGCAATTGAAAGTGAAAAGGAACTTTGAGATGAGGGGAAAAAAAAGCAAGTTTTGTAAAGGTTTCTGAAATATTTGGTTAACAGATTGATAAGTTTCCAAAAGCATGTTGTTGATCTACAAAGGAAAAAAAAATTATTTACTGTCATACTTGTATATTGAAAATATCGATGAAATTCCAGTAATATATGATATGATAAGAAATAAAATAATTGATATGAAAAGGAATAAAAACAGGTTACAAAAAATCTCACCTCACGTTAGTACTTTCTTGCTTAGTAAACAGTACAAAATTAAATACCATGGTTATTTTTAAAAGAAAAATTATGCAAAAATATAATATCCCAAATGGTGTTTTCATTCATGTTCATGAGAAGTGATGGAATGAATGAAAATGGTGTAAAACTGTAGATAAGAGATGTTTGGTAGAAGCATCTTGTTGCCTTTTAAAGGATCTAGAAAGTCGTTTTAGTTTGGGGCATGTTCATATGCTGTCTAACAGATATTACAGAGAAATTGATGAAAAAGTGAAACACACACATGGCAGATATTTCAAGTGGATTAACGCTATTAGTTCAACCTTTAGATGTGTGTGTCAAACTATTCAAAGAAATTTTAAATGACAGTGGAATATGTAGATGTTTGAAGGTGAAAGAGCTTTTAGAAAAGGAAGCCAAGTGCGTCATGACAGTCTAGAAAGGGTGTGTGAGTCAATAAGAAAAAACATGGAATGATAGATTACTCAATCAAAAAAGAAAGCTGATAGATTACTCAGCTGTCAAACTTACTGTGCATGATAGATGATGGTAAACGGCTAGATAGCCGTTAAGCATCTATCTTGCTGAGTAAATCTGATATAATTCAGATAATCTGATATAATGGTCAGAAGTCTTTTAAAAAATATAGCGTGCCTAACAATCTAGATGTAATGAAAGATGATTAATTATTTATTTATGAACTAGAGTAACAGTGAGGATGAAGATGAAACAGAGTTCGATGATATGCCGGATACAAATGGTGCAGAACAATTTGTGTATTTAGTAATTCAATTAAAAAAGAAAGTAATGTACATATATATTTAATTCTTTGAGATTCAAGTACATTTAAATTTTGTTTACACAGTTTTAAAGATGATATTAGGCAGATGACATCCATTATTCTCAGTACACCGCATTAATTGAACTGGGTAGTTTCATTCAACTCTCTCCAGCATTTTGATGGGTATGTTGGTGACAGCTTGATGAATTCCCCCCCCCCCCCCCAAGGTGATCTAGGGTCCTACGGCAATCATGGTAAACAAGTAAATCCGTAAAAAATAGTTGCAGGAGGTTAAGTCAAGTGAGCGTGCTTGCCAGTGCAGATTGCCCCTCAAGAAGATGAGGCATCCGAGATGTTTTCCTGCAAAACACATGTGCTGTGTGTGCCATGGCATACATCCTGCTGGAACCATACATTTCACACATATCTATCTTGCTGAGTTTAGGCAGGAAAATCTTCCGAATCATGAGGACCTAATGGTCAGAAGTCACCAAAACTACCTGTTAATTTTTTTCTGAAAACTCATGGAGCAGACATTCCAAATTGCGATGGTGCACACTTAATAGTCACACATTGTGAATGTAAGGGATGCTGATGAAGTTATCTGGGCTCCAATAGTGCATGTTGTGCTTATTTACAGATCCTAAAAGATGGAAGTGAAGCTCGTCAAGAAAGAAAGGAGAACAAATGTGTCATGAGGCATGCCAAGAAACACCTCACATGCATTTTCTGAAGCAACAAAATCACGTGGATTAAGTTCCTACACAACAGCTTGTTTGCTGGGATAAGATTTTGGTTCTTCGTGAAGGATTCTCCTCACAAAACAGACAACTCAACAGTAGCTGCATGTTTGTGGGAAGAGTATTGAGGAGATTGTAACATAGAAAGCCTTACCTTGTCAATGTTTTGGGGTAACCTAGCTGTTAATGGAAGCCCAAGTTCTTTTTCTTCACATCACCAGTTTCCCTGAAGCTGTTTATCAGTGCAAAAATTGACTGCTGGTCAGGAACACGACCTCAGGGCATAATTATGAAATGGATCAAGAATGTATGTTGCATGGGGATGATTGAGCAACTATTATAATAAAAGAATATGCCACAACAGCAAATGCGTGCTCCACCTTCGTCCACTCCATGATGCTAACTAAACCAAGCAGAGCTATAACTTGATACCTTGCCCTCTCGAGTGTGCTTACCAGAGCAATCTTGCCACCCAACCAGTATAGTGGTTAGCGTCGCTGACTGCCGTTCCGAAGGGCCGGGTTCAAATCCTGGAGTCCCCTCGTGTGGTTTCCTAGAAGGGGAGAGGGGTGGGAGACCCTTGGAACCATCGTTCCTTACCACGAGGTATTTCGTAGGCTTGATCTGATGTTACTATCAGACAAGTGAGCATAAATAACAACAACAACAATCGAGCAATCTTCTCAGAAAAACTGTCGCTTCAGGGTGCCAATAAGCATGTTGCTCTGTCTCACCCTATATAATGGGAAATGAATTTGACAAACTTCTTATGTTATCTGATAATGAGAATTTTTAAGTTCATAAGGTATCTCATTTCTTTTAAATAAATAGCATTTATGTACATACAGAAATATAATTTTTAATGAACTTTTCCTTCATTTTTAAATCTATCATTTTTATATCCAGCGCATAATGCACACCTTTAAATTTTGACCTTAATTTTTTGTATTAAAAATTAACATTATATGACAAAATATATGGTAACTAAATTTTATGCAATGTACATTTTTTTTAAATTAAAAAATTAGCATTTGCCAAGCAATTTTTTTAAGTGTCAGTTTTTTTTTTTTTTTTTTTTTTTTTTTTTGTTTGTTTGTTTTTGTTTTTTATATTTTTGGGTGGTGGGTTAAGCTTTGACTTCTGTATGCCACATGTTGTTTCAGCAAATTCAAATTTAAAATTTCGTTTTTTTTTATTATTTATTTATTTATTTTAAAATTTATTTCAGTTTATTGACAATAATGCAGATGCATTTATATCCACGTTTATTGTTTAGCATTGCATTGACATAAATAATTGCTTTTAAAATTCTTATTTATTTTATATTTTGTACTTTTAACAGATTATCATATGAAAATTCTAAATTATCAGTTTTGTATCAGAGGCATCTTGATTATGTTGAAGAAGGATGTGCAGTGGACATAGATTTTTTTGATACAGGTACTGTAAGTCAAATTACTTATTTTTGATTTAATGCAAATGAATTTCATATATATCTCAATTTATATTATTCTGTGAAAGTCTGCTGTCTATATAATGATATAGAGAGTGTTTATATACCTTCAGAATGAATTTGTTGGATAAGTAATTTAAATAAAAGTAGTAATTTCTTATATATGCTACTTGATGATCTTTTCTCTAGACTCTGTTACTTTAAAATAGGCATCTGAAGGTCATTTCTCTCTTATTCAGCTTCTCTCATAACCGTGATAGCATTGGCCCCTGAAAAGATTCACATTCCCGGATTTATTTTGAGTACTTTGTTTCCAGTTAATAGGGATGGTTAGCTCATGTGATTAAAGGGTAATATGGACTGAAATGAAGCGAGAGAAATTGTTTCTGTGGAAACATATAACTTTTGTTATAAGTGAAAAAACAGAACAGTGACTTTGAGAGTATTTCATTTGACTGGCTGTAATGCTGCCCATAACCCATCCAATGTTTTTGATCTGCACTTAAATCAAAAAGGATATATTAATGAAACATCAGAGAATATGAACAAAAGATAAAGATTTACTATCTTTTCTGTCTGGTTGTTTTCCAAGAAATAGGGTGAAAACTTTGGATGTATTATTGGTAGAGTTATTGCAATGTAGTTGTGCTCTTTGATGGCTGAAAACTGATTGAGATTTAATTTCTTCTTTAAATACAAAATTAAAACATTATACTTAAACCTTTGCTTTTTAATACTATTTTAGCGTTAAACACTTTCTGCTGTATATAACCCTTCGTGAATCTTTTTCTGACACTTCCCTTGAATTCTTGGAACCAAGTTAGTACGTTGCCCTCCCCCCCTTTGTTGAAGGTGGAAGAGGAAGAAATGGAGAGATCTTGAAATGGAGAGATGACTATAATAAATAGTCATTTAAGTAAACCTGTGCTTTATCAACAGCCACAGTATAGATCTGTTTCTCTGCTGCATATATGTATACTAAATAATTTTGATGGAATCCAACATCACATTCCTCATATAGCCATTTTCATAGGGGCCTGCCAATGGTACCAAGTTAAGACTGCTAAATACTGGTAGTTGGACTTATGCTTGAATCCAGACAAATGGGCTGGCTGCATGACTGGTTTGAAACCAATCATATATATACACTTTGATAATTGTTCATACCCAAATGAGTAAAAATGTTTTTTTTTCCCCCGCCCTTCCTTTTTTTTTTTTTTTTTTTTTTTTTTAATATTAATGGTTCCTTCCCGAGACTTTGTTTGAATGGTTATAAAAGAATATGTTTCCCTCAAATACTCCTGTGTTGTTTTTCCCATGTTAGGTGGTTTTTAATCTTTTATATGAATAACATTATGGATTTTATATGTAAAAATGATAATTCTGTGGTTTTTGTAATTATTTTTTTAATTACAGAATAAAATTATTTATGTTTAAAAATAACATAAATATATAGCTTTTGATCTAAAAATTGCTTATGTGAACAGTTTTTAAGCAAATGTTTATCTACATCAGGTTATAATCCAGATTTAAAATAATAAGTTATTGTCAAATAAATCTTTTGGGAGTTTGAGATTTCACTATTTTTTTCCCATGAAGATCATTCTAAAAAATTTATTACAGCTTACAAGCCCCTGTACAGCTTACAAGAAACAATAAATTAAAAAAAAAAATTATGTTTCATGTACTTACTCACATTGACATATCACATATTTCTGTCAGGTAAGAAAGTTTATTAACTATCATAACAAGACCTTCCTACAAGCTTTTGTTTGTGTCACAGTTTTACAGTAAGTTATATCAGTGCTGTTGAATACAAAATACATAGCAGTGCATCTTCCATTTTTAGTATAGCATCTCTTCTAACTAGCCACACAGAAAAAAATCCAGGTGCTTTATATTAAAAAATTTGTATAACCGCATTTCCTTGGAAATGATTAATTTACGGTTTACGTAGTTGAGTAAACATTCTTAACCCTTTTGCCCTGCTCTCCTGTCCACGAAAATTTCTCCCCAGCGGCCTTTTGTTTTTCGCAGCGTGTAATGTTGTTTTCTCTGTACATACATAACTTTCATAGTGGATGAATGTAAATGAATATTAAGTAAAATTATAAGGAAATAAAGCATAATGGAAAAGTAATAATATCTCTGCTTGTTTCTAACAGCAGGATTAATTTGATAGCATCTGATCCAGGCGGTCCACTCCTCCAATTTGATTGTTATAATTTTTTCAATTATTATTGTTTTTTTTTTTTTTTTTTTTTTTTTTTTTTTTTAACAGTTCTTTTCCATGTTTAAACATCAATCATAGAGTTATTATGGACTGTATTCATCAAATGTATACCCTTCTTGTCTTTCCAATTCACAACCTCATTTTTTCTCTTTTTCTGCTGAGTAGACGTTGAAGATCTTTCACAGTCTTATGCAAAATGGCATGAATATTCAGAAAACCCGGGGGGGGGGAATTCAATTAGAAATAGAATGCCTGATTAGTACTGCCCTCTAGAAGGTATTAGAACAAACAAAAATAAAAACTCAAACAAGTAAACATGTAGAAAGCATTTTAAATGTTTAAAAATGTAGAACGCTTGAAGCGCATTACGGCCGCTCTGCAGAAGTTGCATTTGAAAAGATTAACTGAAAGACATTTTCCAAAACTTTGTTCAGAAGAGACTGATAAGAAAATGAGACGACGATGCTTCGTTTGTTCACATTCCCGGAATAATCCTGCAAAATGGCAAATGAGTTATTTTGAGTGCAAGGAATGTAACGCAGGACTGTGTGTAGATCCCTGTTTTCAAATTTAGAAATACGAAAAGAGAATTTTAAGTAATATATTTAGTTTTCAGATGTATAATGTTAAAAGTCATAAAATGGTTAGTAATGAAAATAAAATGTGTAAAATATGCATTTAAACAAGAAATAAGGTAATTAAAGTATATATAAAAATATCTATAAAGCATAAGCCGTTTAAATACTCTATAGAGCATTATTAAACAATGCGTTGATACTTCGGAAATTTCATGGATTTAGGCTTAATAGCAAAAAAGCCCCTGGCCCTGGACAGACGCTCGCGTAAGACACTGCCGGCCTCCGCGATAAGCACGCGTTTGCGCTACCCGGCACGAAGGGGTTAAACACTTTTTATCATTATTCATTGCATAAACTTATATTAAATGTTGTCTGAATACTTTTTAGGAAGCCAGTCTGTTTTAGCATATGCTACTGTAACAGGATCGATTGTTGGATGGGATTTACGGTCACCAGGCACAGCCTGGAAACTTGAAAACAATCCAAGACAAGGTAAAATTATATTTTTTAGTTTAAACAGTATTTTACTTGTCAAGTATAATTGCATCTGTTTACTTTATGGAATAGCTGTTTTAAAGCAGAGGAAACATGTTCACTTTGATGCAAATACTCAATATTTAATAGTAGTAGTTGAGTTTAATAGGAATAGTGGATCACACCCTACATATCTTCATTAAGAATTCAGTCATAGTTACACTATATAGCAGGTTCAATTTCTGTCTGGGCAGATCTATGTAATTGTGATATCTACTGTAACCTTATCATGATATGACAAGATTTTTTAAAATAAAATTTTCAATGAAATTGCAATGAACAATTTTGGGGTGCATTTTTAATTTTGTAAAATTTTGCACTGTACATTTTTTACATAATTTATAATTATTTTACTTTCATATATGATGCATATTTAAAACTTGGTATAAACATCTTTTATCAGAAAAGTTCCAGGACAAAGGTTGTAAAAAATAGAAAACTGCTTGTACAAAGTAATGATCCTAGCTGCTATAAAAGTAGTCCCCTTGGTTATCTATACACAACTGCCAATGTTTTTGGAGGTCTTGGAAGTAAGTACAGTAATCTTCAGCTGTGATGCTTACAAGCTCATTTGTCACAGCCCATTCGATGTCTGCAGTAATCTTCATAAAGCTTTCCTTTTAGTCACCTTTTTTCTCACAGAAACAAGAAAAAATCACAATAATCTTTGATACAAATGTGGGCCCACGTCTGGCTCTATCCAGTACTTTAGCAGAAATTCGTCTTTCCTCTTTCTGTTCAACTGTTAGTGAGCAAGGAATGATTCTTGAATTAAGTTTCTGTTTACCTAAATCTTTACATAACATCTTATGAAACATGTCATGGTTCAAATCCAGTTCTTCTGATATCATATGCACAGTTACATGACGGTCTTGCAATAACTGCGTTACATGTTTCACATTTGTATTGGTATGTGCTATAGATGGATGACCAGTTCCTGGATCATCTTGCACTGAATCTCTGCCTTCACGAAACCTTTTGTACCACTCAAAAACACGACTTCTTGAAAGTGCCTCACCTGCATATGCTTGCTTAATCATTTTCCACGTTTCACTAGGGGTTTTTCTGAGCTTAATGCAGAACTTAATGTTCACTCTTTGCACACAATCAGCATCCATTATGCACCTTAATGAATGTGACAACAATTCAAATAGTGTGTTGCTAAGTACAGCACTACCATCTAGTAAGTTTGTGTGGAAACATGGCCAAGGTCATGTCAAGTAGGAATACATACCAGGTAACATAAAAATAACATGTACTGCAAACTTGGAAATAAAAATAATAATAAAAATAAAAGAAAAATAAAAATTGTCCTGGAACATTTCTGACAAAAAATGTATATGTATGTTTGTGTGATCTAATGCACTTTTTTTTTTTTTTTTAAAAAAAAAGGTCTTGTTACTTCATTTTGCACTGATCCTCACCACTGTTGGATAGTTGTTGGTACAGCTAGCGGAAACATGATTTGCTGGGATTTGCGATTTCAGCTCCCCATCACTTCAATTACTCATCCAACAGGTTACTAATAAAGTTCTTCTTCCTATTAGTATTTTATATTGTTTACATATTAAAATTTCAAATATCTGTTTTTTATTAGGTTCTCGTATCCGTCATTTGTTGGTTCATCCAAAGAAAAAGTCTGCAATATTTGCTGCAGTTCAAGGCAACAATGAAGTATCTTTGTGGGATTTAGAAACACAGGGAAGATTAACTACTTTGTGGTCAATCAATAATGCTCCACCACTTTCTCAAACAGAGGTTGGTTAGTTTTCAATCAATATATGTTAAAATTTCTCAAATGAGATTAAATAGCATAATGAATGATTTTTAGCTAAGATAATTTTTTCCAAGTATACATGAAAAAACAATTAAATATAAATACTTTAACTGTTTTTCATACAGTGGGGATTTCCAAAATAAGTCAATTTTGACACCTTGACCTAGTGAAGAATTTGTGGTGATCAGAAAACAAGCTTTTAAGTCAAAACAAAAGTATTATTATGTATTATTTAAAATATTTATCAGAATATCTTATACTGATTATCAGAATATTTTGCACTGATTAGTTAAAATCATGTTATCAGTACAGCCTTAAGAAACAAAGAAGAAACAAAAGCAGTTACTTTTAGAAAATGTGTAAATCAATTGTACAAAAATGCATCAGTAATTTATTTGTCTATACAAGAGATCTGAATATTGAATAGAAATATGTTGTTTCTCCACCATGTCATTTTACTTTATTAGGTTCAAAGTGGCATGACTTAATTACCATCGACTTGATTACCTGTAAGTAAAAAATAAACTGGATATAGAGTAATCTGTTGGTTTAGATTTAAGCCAATAATCTGCCATCAAACATTAGTGCTCTTAGATCATTAACAACATCAGGCATGTAATAAATAGTCAACTAATTTAATTTACTATAATATGTTGTTTTTGTATTAACATCGTAGGGAAACATTTTCTTATATATACCATCCTGATGGAAGTTAAACATTCCACCATAAGTTAACTCTGAGGCCTACAGAACTTTTGGATGGACTTATAAATAGTATGCATAAATTTGCATGGCTCAAATAGTGTTCAAGTCCTCAGTTTTAACTGTGTTTATTAGCTTGCAAACCTCACCAGTGGCCAAGATTACTGAATCCTGGTATAGTGTTTGTATGATCCTTTAAAGTCCTCAGGTTTTTTGGAAATAATTTTTGGTCCTTAATTTCGGCCAAAATCAGCAAAGTTCCTTAATTTTACTCATCCGACATTTCTATCCATTTTTATGAGTGCCATTTAGAATGTGAATTAGCATTTTGGAGGAATATTTTTTGACGGTTCATTGACAAATATGTATTTGATGAATTTCATCGTTTGAATTTCATTTCTACTTTTTATATAAATGATGTGATACTTGAGTTTACACATGTGGTGGCTGGCCATGAAAGAATAGTCTCAATGTATCTCATGCATGTCGTAAGAGGTGACTAAAATGGATACCCAGTATCCGGGGATATAGCTGCCCCTGGGGATTATATTAGGGGACTGGTCCCCAGGTTAAGAGTTGGGTATAGGGCTAATTATATAGGGCTAATTACCCACCCTGTAAAAAAAAATTCTGGTTTAGATTTCTCAAAAGCTAAATTATGGATGGATACTATCCAGACAGCATAGAATGACAATGGACTTGCATGTTGGGACATGAAATGTGCACACACTCCATAAGGCTAGGGACTTAAAAGTCTGGTTCATGTATTTGAGAATTATAATTTGGATATTTGGGCCATTCAGGAGATCAGATGGCTTGACCAAGGAATTTTGGATAAAAGAAGATGCAGTGTCTTATATAGCTGCCAGGATAAGCAGCACTGCTTTGTAACTAGGAACTGTAGTAACTAGGAAAATAAGAAACAGAATCATAGACTTCAAACCTATAAATGAAAGGACTTGTATAATGCAAAAATACCTCATCGCCTTTCCATCATCATACCTAGTTGAAAAAAGCTTCAGAGTGGTAACAAACATTTTGACGAAACAAAGAAACCGTTTGAAAATCAACCAAAGTGGAGATTTAAGGCTGCAACTCACCAATATTGAACCGGATGTAGCTAGATTGGTAGATAGTCACCAGGTTCAACCATCACACTGAATGTTTTATTTTCTCTTTGCGAATTAATACTTTTTTAAATATAATTTCCTACCTACTTAAGATTCTTTAAGTACTTAATTTGTAATAATCATTATAAATTAAACTTGATATTTACTGAATTGTATGTCTTTTTATTTTGTTAAATTTTGATGAGAAAATGAAGTCAACTTTACTCACTTAACCAAGTGCAAAGTTTTCCAATTGGTACCTTAGTACCTAGGTATTTTGTATCAATAGGAAAAAACTAAAGATAGGCCCCCTTATTCATAATAGTCTGATAACTTATATACTGCTAATTTTCACTCTGTCTTCTTCTATTGACCTAGTCAGAATGAAAAATAGCACTCTGTAGCAGCTGTTTTAAGTTAGCGGACCATTATGAATAAGGGGGTTGATCTTAAAAGTAGGTAATTTGGCCATGGGGGTCTGAGGTAACAGTTCATTTTGGAAAAGGGGTCACTTGTCCAAAATAGTGTGGAGATCCCTGCTCTAGAGTCTGCAGCCAGATACATTGGACTAACCATTAAAGAGAGTAAAATGTAATTTATGGCAATAATAACTAGAGCACATAATTAATTCCCACTGCAAGAAATTCTTATAATTTCGAGGGCATTGCTCAGTTTTTGTATCTCGGTACTACCATCTCTAATGATAACAATATTAAACTTGAAATTGACAATAGATTATTTAGTGTTAATAGATGTTATCATGGTTTAATGAATTTATAAATGTCTAAGTCAGAGATTCTCAAACGGTGGTACGCAAGAGAAAAATAAATGGTATGCAAAGAAGCAAAATATTTTAACTATTAAATTCAAAACATTAAAACCCCAACATCCTGATTGAGTTTTTTTCGAACACTCGTAAATTTATTTATGCGATCTGAGCTTTGTTCAAGTGTGGTGGTGGTAGTAGTACTTTGTAGTGGTGATACTAAAGGTTTTCAATATTTGTTTAGTTGGTATGTGTTAGTTAAAAGGTTGAGAACCTCTGGTCTAAGTTATTAAACTTCAAAAACAAAAATAAATCTTTTTATACAACTCTTAATAGATCTATCATATTGTATGGTAGTGAATGCTGGCCATTAACAAACACAGATGAAGAAAGACTAATGTTTGAAAGAAAAACACTCTGAAAAATATATGGGCCAGTTAAAGAAAATAACAGATGAAGAATTTTGTTTAACCGTGAAATCTATAGAAAATAGAAGATACAAACAACCTAATATTCTCTGAGTCATCAAATCTTATCGTATCAGGTGGCTTGGATATAATGTTAGGTGTGACAACTTGAACTCTGTTAAAAAGGTGCCTTTTGCAAGTGTAGAGGGTATTAGGAAAAGAGGAAGACCTTACACAAGATGAATGGATTGTATGAAGGCAGATCTCAAGACTTTAAAAATTAATTGTTGGTGGGCTGTAGCAATTGATTGGATCGGTTGGAGAAAGCTTGTTGAAATGCCTTTGGCTTGCAATAGGCTGTAGTGCAAAAAATAAAACATTTTTGTTTTCTCCTGTGATAATATAAAGTGGCATTATTTTTGATTTTGATGACTTCAGGATATTTTGAATCTAAATAATAAAGAAGATAATAAATGCTATAAAGGAGAGTTTTTAAAGCACTTTTTAGCAAAGCCGCCTTCCCCTAAAAAAAGCTTTTGCAGTTATTTTTTAATTAATTTCATTTGTTTTATATTATTTCCCATGTCATTGTCTCAAAATTTTCAAATGTGCCTTGATTTTCTTTGTGAGATTGGAAAACAAAAAGAAGTCTGTGGAACCAAGTCCGGAGAATATGGTGGATGTTGCAGCTCCACGACCTCATGCTTGGCCAAAAGCCTCTTCACTGGCAACGCAATGTGGGGATGGGACATCAAGAAGAACATGATGTCGACATTAAAAGAGCCTTCCGAAAGATGACTTTAAAAGTTGTTTCCACAAATTATACAGTTAACACACAAGTGTATTACAGAAGATGGGGATTATTTCGAAACATATTAAAATGTTACGTTTTTCATATCATCTGTTCTGGTGTTATTAGAGCAGTCCTGAAAATTAATAGCCACACCTTGTATATGATTTCATAGTTATTCTCAATGCTCATATTACTAAAGAAATAAAACTAGAAATTCCTTCTACACATTCTAAATACATGTAATTTTTTAGAATAACAAAAATCTTTAATTAAATCTGAAAATTCTAAAATGAAGAGTAAACTATTTATTGACAAAGAAATTGAAAGAAAAACACAGGAGAATTACACACAGAACACATTTACACAAAGAGAAAGAAAATTGTTCTTCAAAGATGTATTGTTGAAACATTAACAAGTAGAAGATAAAGCAGAGACTAATAAGAACATTGGTTTGTTTATGTAAACAAAGTTAAAAAAGATGCTAAAGAGAAGGAAAATAATAAAATTAACTAAAATATCCAGAAAATTTTCAAATTAAAAAGAAGCATAAATATTTTGTTGTGCATTGTTGCTAGAAAGCATGTGTTTTGTAGCATTTAATGTATAATTATCCTAACATTGTTTTAGAATTAGTGTCACAAATATTATCTGTAGTTGTTATTTCATACAGCAAAATGTCTTTAAATTGTTATTTTAATACTAGTACTTTTTAACAAAAATTTTAAATTTTTTTAATTAGTAGTGTCTATGTTAATCTATAATGATTAAGACCTAATTTAATTATTTGCAACTAACTGCTCACTAAATGTTATTGCCTTTTAGTAATTCTTACTGTAAACACAAGATATAACATAAAAATTTAGGTATTTTACAACAATGCACCTGCCATGCTTTTTCTGGCACCTGTGAAAGAGAAACCAAACATGTGCCAAGACCCATGATGGTGCCATCTGAGGACAAAACCATTTGTATTTGTGTATTATTCATTTAATTGTGCATTTACAATTAAAAAGCTACCAATAATAGAAAAGTACCCAAATTAAAAATTAATACAAAACAATTTATCACCTCTGGTGCTTCAACAGTTTATTGGAACCTTACAGCTTATTAACTAGGTTACAATTCCAACTACTTTATGTGAGCTACGACACAAATTGGATCAGACAGGTATAGCATAACTAAGTTTCAGCATTTACCAACCATGCTTAATGTCAAGCATTGAGGTCTGTTCTGATCAGCAGATCTTTAGGCAAGCTGCAACAGCAAACCTTTAATTATGAGTCATGCTGATTATGATTTTACTTTTCATTTTAACCTATGCTGCTGACATAAAATCTGCCCACTATTTACTAACCAATGGACTGAGTTTTTTTATGTTGTTTCCCTGTGCATTAGTACATGATGAAATGAGGCTTAGAAGAAAGAATGAACATAAAGCTAACTGTTAATAAAATGTAAAATAAAATGTCACTAATCTCCTTTAAAATAAGTGGAACTAATGTAGGTGTAAAATATAAATGTTTCTTTAATTTAATGCCAATTACTTGATAAGTTTTAAGAAGTCGATTTTTATTTCAATTTTTCTGTTTTATTCTTAGAATGGAACTATGAAAATAAACTTTGGACTTGGATAATTTCTTTAGTTCATTCAATTCTCATTTGGTAATAGTTCCTTAATGTTTTTCATTGCTAATCCTTAAAAGGACTTCATTTCCCTGTGCATTAGTTCAACCTGGGTTCAAAGCCATACAAACAGGCTGACTACATGGATATACTAAAATAACACAGTTAAATACTTAAAAATTAGCAAAGCAATAGTGTAATTGTGTTTGGCGTAAGTTTAGTGAAAATTATTTTGCATAGGTTTTGATTAAATCTAAACAATGGTTAGTAAACACAAGGTTGTTGCTTTGTTAATTTTATGTTTTATTTGGCATGTTTTTCTTCTTTTTAGAATTAAACCCTATTAAGAGTAAATTAATCATATATTTTTTAAATCATGCTTTAAAATATGTTTTTTTAATGTTTGATATACAGGCATCAGATGATTCTGTGTATTCTATGTGTTGGTCTGCAACTGATCACGGATCTACACTTTTGACTGCTGGTTCAGATAGAAGGATTCGTTATTGGGACTTAAAGAATCCTGCTGCATCACACATTGTTGTTGGAGCAGCTAATGATCCTCTAGCCCCATTCTCTAATATCAATTACACGTAAATATATCTTTTTTTGTTTGGTAATCATCTTATGTGTATGATTATTTTATGAAAATTTATAAATTATATTACAGATGGTAAAATTAATGGAAAGTGCAAGTGTTTTGTTTTCCTATGCATTGTCATAATGAAAAGAAAAGGTCTATGAATTTCAAGGAAATTTTTACACAGTTCCTTTTTGGAGAAAAAATATTCTTAAGCGGTTTTACCGATTCACTTAAAAAGTATTTTATGTTCAGGATTTTGTAGACGCAGAAATAAAAGCTGTATTTTTAACTCCCTTGTTTTTATTTTTTTTTAATTAGCATTTAAAAAAAATAAACAGTATCCAAACTTTCATTTTCTAAGTCGCTTCCAGTATATGCTTAATTTAATACTTCATATTTGGATTTTATGCTTTTGGGCATCTCTAACTGATGATCTCTTTACTTCTGTAATCTCTACGGAACCACATTCCTTCTTCTGCATCTATGTATCCCAATACTATTGTTTTGGATATGATTTATTCTTTGTTTATTTCTACCTTTTACTTCATACTTTAAATGTTACAAATGTGTTTTTTTTTTTTTTTAGTTTTTTTTTATGTTGTTTCAACAAGAATTTCCTATGTATATTTATTAGAAGTCCATTATATCTAATATAATTTTTATTGATCTTTATTTTTCTAAATTTCTTTCCAAAGTCAAATAAGTGTACAATTTTGCTTTAATATTTTGGTTGAACTGAAATATCTATGATACAGAGATCTAAAGGGATGCAACAGTTTTGATGATATACTATATTAACAGTCATGTTTTTTAAACTGCACCATTTAAACTCCATCAAAATTTAATTGATGAATAAAAAGTTATTTCTCATTAATTGCAAATTGTTTTATAAAGATTAGTTGTAATTGAATTCATTTTTTAATTAGATTAAAGGGCATTAGCCCAGAAGAGCTATTAATTTCGTTTTGGCATTTTGAATTGGTTCAATATGAATGTCTTAACTTATAAACATCACTTTTCTAATTGTTGCCACCAAATATTAGAGCCACGCATTATATTTAAAGAAATTAAATAATGAAGAATCTGCATTAATGTTTCTCATGCTGTGAAAAAACAACCTTACCTAGAGACATCAAATTTCCAATAAGTTGTCCTCCACTAGAATACAGGGATCTGGAAGCTCGAAATTGGAATTTTTTTTATTATCTAGTTCATATTTTGTAAAACTTTAACGAATTTTTTATTAAGAAATTGAACAATTTCAAAGCGAGCAATGGCAACACTGTACGGAAAACATTTTTTTATCTCCAGCGCACGAGATTCTGTATCGGAAATTTTAAAGATATACTCATTTTAAAATTATTTTGAGATATTGCTGTTCAATTAAATTTTATGGTCTTTAATAAATAAAGGTAACACACAAAACATTTAAAAAAAACACCCCTTTGGGCGTAATATTAAATCTGAAAGCTTTCAGATTTTTTTTTCATTATTCTTATAAATTCTTTTCTTTACTTCCAATAACAGAACTCCTAGTTCTTTTGCATTTAATCTTTTTTTTTTTTTTTTTTTTTTAAATTTTCCCAAAACCAGGAAGGGGGGGAACTGACCAGTTTCTCTTTTCTCGTGGTTTTCTTTGATAGTCATGCTAAACCTGGACTGGATGTATTATTTTATAGTTTATATGAATTTAAATAGTCCTGAAGTTACATCTGTATTTATTTGATGTTGCATATACATAACTGTATCATAAAATAATTAGTATAAAAATATTAAATAATTAAAAACTTTTAACTAATTTAATTTGTATTCTGTAAAATAAGTTGTATTTCTGTGTATTAAAACAGAATACATTTATCTTTTACACTGCAGATCTAGAATAATTGATGGGACACAAGTTATATGTGAAAATTTTACAAGACAAAAAGATGAAAAAGCTATGTCTTCAGAAGACCAGCCTCGACGCTATCCCGAGACACCACCAGCTGGCCATCATGATTGCATAAGTTCTATTGCTTCCATGTATACATCTCAACCACTAATTTTGTCTGCTTCCAAAGATGGAGTTGTTAAAATTTGGAAATGATATAAATAAGAAATGGCTAAGTATGCATATCACTATGTATGTGTACATTTATGAACTTTAATTAAATTTTTTCTAATTCCATTTTCATTCTAGCTCTATAAGTGTATGTATAAATTTATTTATTGTAATTATATTTCAAATTGGTGAATGCAAAATATTTGTATAAAATGTATAATAAAAGACATGTTTAATTTGTTTCATAGTCTTTATTTTAAAAATATAGTTAAGTCTTGTTATTGTTGCAGAAACTTGTTATTGTTGCAGTCTTGTTATCTGTGCATAATGAATGATTTCTGCCAAGAAAACATTCCTAATTAAAGTTGGGAGGGGAAAACATAAAAGCAGTACCTTTAGTGCAGGTAGTAATCACCACCCAAATATGTAGTTTTTCAAAGCCTTCGACACAGAACCTTGGTGGCCATGAATCAAAAAAACAGATTAACCTCATTTGGGATGTCCTGTGCAGAATGGAATATAGCACCAGTAAGATGTAGCTGCAGGTGTAAAAAAGGGTAGAAGTCCAAAGGAGCATTGTCGAGGCTATATGGTGGGTGTGACAAAAGATCCCACTCGAGTCCATCTTGTGAATGCGAACACGTGTGGTCCTGCATTATCTTGATGGAACATTACCTTTTTGCACCAGAACTCAGTTTGACGTTTTTTCTTGATAGCAATTTCAACATGGACCAGCATCTCACTGTACACATTACTGTTGGGGGTTTTACCTTTTTCCAGATACTCTTTGCGGATAATAGAACCACAGTAATCCCACCAGATACAAAGCATGATCTTTTTTGTTAGTCAAATTGCACTTTGCAACACTGCCGACGGGCTCACCAAGTGCAGACCAACCCTCTTTTCAGCTTGTGTTGCTGAAGTAAATCCACGTTTCATCACAAGTGATGATCCGGTCTAGAATTTGTCCTTGCATTGATATTCGAGCAGATAAATGCAGGCCCGAACAACATTTGTTCTTACTTGCCTGACTCAACTCATGTAGCACCAAGCGACTGAACTTGCACATCAAGTTTATATGATGCATAATGTGACTAATGGTCATGGCACTCATGTCCAACTCCTTAGCAGGCTCTTGAATGGGTGCATATGGATCTTCTACAAGTGCTCGCAGGTGGCCTTCATCAACATCAGAGCTGTATACATGATTTGATGACATTCTGTAGTTGACTTTTTGCAACAGAATAGAAAGTAAACAATGGTTCTAATCTTGTAGTGTGATAGTTCCGTTTCAGACATTTTGTGCTTAAAGATAACAATGTTTTACAAATTTCACAACATGGTGCTCTAAAACAAGTCTCGTTCTTTCAAATGCCAAAAATCATTTGACAAAATATGATTAAACATGCCAACACAAACTGTTTGCACAGACAACATTTGCAGTGGCAGGAAACTTTCGTTAAAACCTGATATGATGTAAATTAACTATAATGATAAAATCCTATGACATATTTAATCTAGCTAATGCTTCAAAATGTAATCCACATATATTGAGAATGTAGACATGTCAACATTTTGATATGGAGATTTAATTTCTAAATAGGGATTTTGTGTTACCGGATTTAAAATATCTGAAACAAATTAGGATAATGTAATTTTTGAAGATATTTACTAAAATATATAATTTCATTAAATACAAATAATTTCACTTTGAGGAAGTCTAGGTAAATGCAACTGTAAAGATAATTATTAGAAAATTTTTCTTTCTCAAATTCTTATTAAAAGATTTCAGAAATTACCCTAAATGTCAAGTTAGTGAACAAACAAGGGGTTAATCAAGACTTGTCCTCAGCGTAAAATGTTTCAGGAGAAAACAAAAAAAAAATTTTAAAAATTAAATTAATGTGAGGTGAGTGATGAGATTATGGCGCAAAACCAGAGATGATTATGACGCGCCAAACACAAGATGGGATGATTACAATTGATGACATTAAAATTCAATAAATAAAAACAAGTAGACAAATGTACCAAATCCAGAGGATGAAGTCATATAAACACAAGTTAAAAGCACACATTAAAATTCAAGACACAGTCTTCAAAACAAATTACATTAGGTAATAAAAGCCAGTCTCTTTTAAATAATAAAATAAATTACAATTGACCTCTCTTCCGATTAAACGGTCGAGAGGTAAGTCACAGCTATTAAAATATTTCTGACGAAGACTATTAAAACATGGACACTCAATTAAAATATGACGGAACAGATAGAACAAACATTACAATTTGAAACAAACAGGCTCATTCTCAGCTTTTAAAAGGTAGCTATGTGTCACTCTAGTGTGACCAATTCTGAGGCGAGTCAAAAGAACTTCCTCCTTACGATTTTTGGTAGATTCCCAATGCTCAATTCTAGGTTTTACTTGTCTTAACTTGTTTTGAAGCTGAACATCCCAAATTTGCTGCCATTTTTTTCGGACCTTTCCCTTGATGACACAGCAGATATCTCTAAAAGGGATAAGGCGACTGGACAGTTCAACAGCAGATTTGGCTGCGATATCTGCAAGCTCATTTCCCTTTATTCCAGCATGTCCAGGAACCCAGCAGTACAGGACTTCATATCCTCGAATCGTTAAGTTTATATGAATTTTGAGAACATCCACTACCACAGGATTCTGAGTGTTGGGAAAAGCTTCCAAAGATTTCAGAGCACTATACGAGTCTGTATAAACTATGAACTTTTTGTGGCAGAGCTTCGAGATGTACAAAAGACCATAATATATTGCAGTTAATTCAGATGTTAGGACTGAGCAAAGCATGGTGCAGGCATCTGCCCTCAATGTAATCTTCAAATACAAAAGCCATCCCGACATGATCATTTGACTTTGATCCATCTGTGTATATCGGATAATAACTGCTATATTTGTGCCTGTGCTCAGCAAAGAGTTGTCTGTAAACGATCTCGTTAGTGCTCGCCTTCACGTGATGTTTGAAAACATCAAGAAGCTGAATCCGTGAATTTTCCCAAGGTGGAATTTCGAAATTCTGTACTGCTTGGGGGCGCATATCAGAGAGGGAATGTTCCTCAATGACAGGGCGAACTCTTAAAGGAAAGGTAGGAACGCAGGATGGACGCGTTTCAAATAAAACGTTACACACGCATCATCGAGTAAGCACAGCTTATTGGGATGTTCAGGTTGGGATAGAATATTAAAATATTGCAAGAGGGACAATTGCTCACGCCTCAGATAAAGTGACGGTTCGTTACAGTCAACGTACAGGCTCTGGACGGGAGAGGTCCTGAAAGCTCCTGAACAAATGCGCAGAGCTTGATGGTGAACAGGATCCAGTTTTAACAATACTGATGGCCGAGCGGATCCATAAACAACTGAGCCATAGTCCAGTTTAGAGCGGACGAGCGCTCTGTAAATGCGAAGCATGGAGCAACGCTCTGCACCCCAGGAGGTGTTCGCCAACACTTTTAAAATATTTAGTGTTTTTAGACACTTCTTTCTCAGGTTTAAAACATGAGAAAGGAAAGTCAATTTTCGGTCGAACGTCACTCCTAAAAATTTTACTTCGGGCGTAACTGGAATAATTGTACCATTCAGATATAACTCAGGCTCAGGATGGAGACCTCGCTTCCTACAAAAGTGAACACACACAGTTTTCTGTTTGGAAAAAGTAAATCCCTGTTTGTTTGACCATTCTTGGATCTTATTCAGAGCCATCTGCAATTGCCTCTGTACGTATCTCATGTCTGCTCCTCGACAGCTAATCTGCAGATCATCAACATATAGAGATCCCAAGATGGTGGGAGGAAGTTCTTTTAGTACAGAGTTTATTTTTAAACTAAACAGGGTTACACTGAGCACACAGCCTTGAGGCACACCCTCTTCCTGTTCAAAAACATCCGAAAAAACAGAGCCAATTCTTACTTGAAAAGTTCTAGTGTTCAAGAAGTTTTGAATGAAAATTGGTAGGTTGCCGCGCAAGCCACTCTCGTGAAGATCCCGGAGTATACCGTATCTCCATGCCTTATCATAAGCTTTTTCAATGTCGAAGAATATCGAGACAAGGTGGCTTCTTCTTACAAATGCTTTTCGAATAGATGTCTCTAAGAGGAGCATGTTATCTACAGTTGTTCTTCCCTTTCGAAAACCGCTCTGATAAGGCGATATAATATCATTCTTTTCCAAGAAGTAGACTAGGCGGCTGTTTACCATCTTTTCAAACAGTTTGCATACGCAACTCGTAAGGGCAATTGGCCGATAGTTCGAGGGATTCCTTGGATCTTTCCCTGGCTTAGCAATAGGAATTACAACAGCTCTCCTCCATGCACTGGGAAAAATACGCTCCTTCCACACTCTATTGTAAAGAGTGAGGAGGGCAGTCAGTGACTTATAGGACAGATGTTTTAGCATTTCGTAATTCACGCCATCAAGACCCGGAGAAGACCTATGTGTCTGCAATAAAGCTCTCTTTAATTCCAGCATAGTAAATGCTCTATTGTAAGGCTCAGATTTGGACGAGTTGAATGCAATGGGATTTATTTCAGAGTGCTGCTTGATAGAGAGAAATGCAGGTGAATAGTTTCTGCTGGAAGAAACGGCAGCAAATGTCTCACCGATAGTATTCGCAATTTCTTCTATGGAGCTAATCACTCGGCCATCTTTTTCCAAAAAGGAAAGTGAGTGGTCTTTATATATTCCGCATGCTTTTCGAACTCTTTCCCAAACCCGCTTACTAGGCGTAGAGGATGTAATTGATGACACATAGGAAATCCAAGAATTCCTTTGGCTCTGCCTCCTTACTTTTCGTGCGTTTGCTTTGGCTCTTTTAAATGCAATGAGGTTTCGCAGAGTAGGATATCTACGAAAAATACCCCATGCTTTTTTTCTGTTTTTTCAGTGCTTCATGACAGTCGCGATTCCACCACGGTTTCGAATATTTCAGTATTTTTCCTGATGTTCTAGGAATGGAAAGCATAGCTGCCTGAATAATAGTATTTGTAACAGCATCAACAGCATCATCGATATGCGCATCTTCTACCATTTCATCTGTGAGCTCTGCAATGGAAGAGAAGAGTTCCCAGTCTGCCCTGTCCAGTATAAACGAGGGGATCTCGACATGGGGTTTGCTCCTCTTCGTGCAAGAGATACAAAAATGGGATAATGATCGCTGTTGTAAAGATCATTTCCCACACTAAAAGTGCAAAATGGCAACAGAGATGGTGAACAGATGG